TGATTGCTTGAATTAAGGAGACAATTTAGGTAACATTAATGGCCAATGAAACTCCAAAGTTTCAGAATTTCGAAATCTGAAACAGGAGGGAAATAGGGGGCGGCGGCAAGGTGGGAGGGGACCGATGGGCTGGAGTGGCCGGCGGCGGCTGGGTGGGGACTGGGCCGGCGGGAGGAAATTTTGGCAGGGGCGGGTTGGGCTGTGAAGCCGGCGGCTTGGCTGGATCCCAAGGGGGGTCGGCGACACTAGGATGAAGAGAGGGAGAATTGAAGAAATCTGAGATTTTCTTCCGACGTTGATTTCCCTTGCTTCGAATTTCTTCTCAATTCTACCTTCCCACAATAAGCTTGGATTAAATCTAGAACTCACGAAGAGATCTAGTTCTCCCTTTGAACTCACTAAGAGATCAAAGGGAAGTGCACTCACAAAGAGAACAAAGGAGGATAATTTTCATTTCATCAAAACTAACTATTACATGAGAAAATGGTCATATATATAGGCCACCAAATGACAAAGAAAATAAAAGACTAAAATGCCTCTTGGGCTACAATAGCGACCGAAAACCTATAATGGCAAAAACGGAAAAATATAAAATAAAATAAACTACTACATAAAATGATGAAAATACAGATCATGATCGTGGCCGTAGATCTCCGGCGTCGGCGATGGTACACGTGTCGAAATTTGATGTCCCCATCACTGAGTCTTGCTCATCATCTGAGCAACCAACGTAGCAAACTGCGAAACTTTATCAGAACCAACCACTGGGGCAGTACTATTCACAGGAGCTGCCTCACTAGCACTCTACCCATCAGTCATATTTGGGTCTGGCATATCCATAATCACACAGAATACAACTATGCCCACAAAACAACATAATAAAAATTCAGACAAATCAGAACTACTCCGATAGATTTACAGATCAATTCCTATAGCTTTCTTACAATCCAAACTCCAAAACTATGCTCTGATACCACTTAAATTTGTCACGACCCAACCCGACAAGAACGAATCCCTTCGCGTCGGGTCGCGACGGATTAATCCAGGATCTAGCTTTGGAATTTGCTTTCAAACTTTCTTCCAATAAACAGACACACAGAAAACACAGAGCTACTATAAACATCTAAATATACAAAAATTCATCTGAAATTTTCTTCTTTCTTTCATCAAAATAATCATGTACATTACAGTGCATGGCTACTAATAGAAAGAACAGAACAGAAAAGCCATGACTGTACAAAAATCAAAAGTACAAAATACCTAATCTCAGATCAAATACTGAACGGCTAGTTCAATACCTTTTTCCCTTTCCCAGAACTTTAAAACCACGCAGATAACAAGAATGAGCTAACAGCTCAGCAAGACTACATCAGTCAATCAAAATCTCCAGAAACTCACATCCACAATACATCAGAAAAGTAGTCCTACATAATTCAAATAATCGTACAGAAAATTGTATAATCAGACATGATACAGATACTTGATTAACAGAATATTCAAATCACTGATACAGAAGAATTCATTTCGTATAACAGAATATTAAATTAGGTTTCAAATCAGAATTATCTTCAAATCACAGAATAGACAGAATCGTACAAATCATAAAGCACATTGTCAAAACAGATCACATATCACATATCAGATCAGATTCCTGGACACTAATAGAATCTCAACGGATTCTGGCCCCTTATGCCTCCCTTGTGCTTACAGCACCAGAACATATCAGAAATACAGAATTATCATATCATAACTTGTTTTCAGATTTCAGATTCCCGGACCCTGACAGAATCTCAAAGGATTCCGGCCCCTTATAACTCCCTTCCCTGACACAGACAGAATCTCAACGGATTTTGGCCCCTTTATGCCTCACTTCATAGCATACAAACATATCAAATCATCAAATTCAGAAATCAGTTTTCGTCAGAAAAATCGTCAGCGGCATAACGGCAGTATACAAAAGTTTCACAGAATTCACAATTTCAGAAATTTACCAAATTACCACAGATAGTAGAAAACGTTATTTCAAGACTTTCATTGTACTGAGACAAATATTTTCAACATCCAAATAATTTTCTATTCGACAAAAACTCCGCAGAATTCAAAATCCCGGTGAAATTCTTCCATAAAATACTCAAAACATGCAAAAACATCATCTCAGAAACATACCAAAAGTTACGCGGTAAAACATTTATCAGCACGACATGAAACCAGATATTTGCTAACAGAAACAAAATTTGAAACAGAAAAATCATCAAAATCCACATTTCTTAAAATTGAGAAAGGCGGAATGTGCTTATCTCGAGTCGATCAACTTTTCCAACTATGGCGACGGACGAAAACGGACCGAAGTCACCCAAAATCCACTTTTCTTTCTTTTTCCTTTTATTTTCTCTCTCCTCAGCTTTCTCTCTTCAAAAAGATCTCAAACAGATATATACAAAATAGGATCGTACGGGACGATTTCTATTCGTCTCGGGACAATTTCTCCTCTGAACAAAATTTGTTCAGACAAATTTGTTATCGTACTTGGACGACTTGCTCTCTGGACAAATTTCGTCCCAACGAACCTAAATTCGTCCTGGGACGAACCTCTCTTCCCCCAGGTTTTGAACTGATCGTCCCGGACGATCTCAACTTTGTTCGGACGAACCTGGAAGGAAAACCGGGTTTCACATAGTGGGCTTGGAGGGTAGGTGGATGTGGAGGAAAAAGAAAATAAAAGTTTAGATTTGCAAACCTTGGAATCCTCCAAAGGTTGGCGGGTATTGCTGCCACCCACCTAGGGTCTCTCCTCTCATGAACTCACTTAGAGATCAAGCAAAGAAAACTAAAATTTCATTCAATATTCATCATCTGATACAATAGAGGTGGCCACAATATATAGGCCTAAAGAAATAAGAATATAATGATGCAAATGCCCCTGGGGCTACAACTCAAGACGGCTCAAAAGAAAGGGTACAATCATAAATAACAATTTATACATAAAACATCAAAATAAAGACTAAGCATCAAAATAAAGGATGTGGATCATAGCCATCGATCTGCGCCTCCTGCGCTGATATACTCGTCTAAAACGTCAGTCGATGTCCTCATCAATCATACTTCAATCCAAATAAGGGTAAACCTAGAATTGAAATACTAACTATAATCAATTTCATCTCAATCATGAATTAAAGGAGCTTAGGTTTTTAAATAGATTTAGGATTGCATGCAAATTGAAAAGAAGTTTCCTTCTCATTCGGTGAAGATTTAGCTTGCTTAGGGAGGAAATATAAGCTGAAAAATGGAAGAATTAATTTTCTGATTAACTCTTAAACCCAAAAAATAGTTTCTTCAACAAATCTTTATCATTATTTTCATGTACAAATTATATAAGTTTTTTCTTGGAAAAATATATATTGTTATGCATTCCTATCAAATCTTTTGTTTATCTTTCAAACATGAACAACAATCGAAAGGTTAGGGCTTATCAATGCAAGGCTGCTCTGCTATCTAGCTCCTCGTCTATTTCTCCATTTCGTCTCCCTCTCTCAATCTGAACACCCACCCCCCACCTCTTTTTTTTTTTTTTTTTTTAATTACATAAAAAACCCCCTCTTTTTTTTTTTTTTTCTTTTAATTACATAAACAAATTCTCTATCTTTGCAATCACACTTTGGATTTTATGTTTAACAATTTCCTTGATGATTTAACCATTCATCAACCATATGAATTTTATGAGGATACTAGGGTGGTGTATAGAAGCTCTTTTAAAATTTAGATTTTCTTATGTATTGCAGCAATTAAAACCATCAAATAGATGTGAGGTATCATCAATATTCCATGTTTTTGATAACATGCCTTTGTAAGACTTTACACCTTAAATTTGCATTTTATTATTATTAGTATTGAATTGTAGATGTTCATTCTAAAAATATGATGCATCCAATTGGTTATCAAATGATCTTAAAAATTGTTGTGTTCATGCATTCTATTAGTTTTAATAACCATTTTCTCTATTTCTATATATATATATATATATATATATATATTGCCCACACAAGGGATGTAAATTTATTGATCTGTGCAGGATTGGAACCAATGACCTTGTCAACTATTTCTAATTTCTTTATCAACTAAATTGACATATATATAAGATAGAATGCTTTCATGCAATTTATTTATTTTTTGGCATTGTTGTCATTTATGGTTATTTCATGATTATTTTTTCCTTCATATTTTTTATTTATTCACAAAAATTTTGTGAAAGTAGAATTATCACCTAGTACAAGCTCTAAAGAAGAATTGTTGTAGGGTTCAATCAGCTGGGATAATGATGATGAGTTGTTTATTTGAAAGATACCTATGTTCCTTTCTATTCTTGTTATTGAGCTACTTTGAATAACCACAGTATATTCTATCTCTATTTAAGATATCTGGGCATGATGGAGGAACTGGAGCTAGCCCTGTAAGCTCTATTAAACATGCTGGTGGACCATGGGAGCTTGGATTGACAGAGACACATCAGGTTTGCACTTGACATCTTCCCTTTATTTGTTACCTAATATGTTATTTATTCATCTGCATATTATTTAGTATTTGATGATCATTGCAGACACTTATCGAAAATGGACTTAGAGAAAGGATTATTCTGCGAGTGGATGGTGGATTTAAGAGTGGATTTGATGTCCTTGTGGCTGCAACAATGGGCGCTGATGAGTATGGTTTTGGATCTGTTGCTATGATAGCAACAGGTTGTGTAATGGCACGCATTTGTCACACAAATAATTGCCCAGTTGGAGTTGCAAGTCAGGTACCATCAGGGAACTCTATTATTTTATGTTCACAATATTCCTAAATAGTTCACTTGATGTTGTCACAGAGAGAAGAGCTTCGTGCCCGCTTCCCTGGTGTTCCTGGTGATCTGGTCAACTATTTCGTGTATGTTGCCGAGGAGGTAAGTATGAAATATTTGAGTGTAATAAATCGAGCATGCTATTTTCATTTCAAATGTCAAATTAGTTGGCATTCTTTACTTTTCAGTTGGCGTCTACTCACAAGCCTACTATTTATGAGGCAAATTCATGCTGTCTTGTTTGACTAGGTGAGAGGCACTTTGGCTCAGCTGGGCTACGAGAAGATGGATGATATAATTGGGAGAACTGAATTGTTGAAACCAAGACAAGTTTCTTTAACAAAGACTCAACACATTGATCTCAGCTATATTTTATCGGTACAATTATTGTAATGAGTAATTTTAAATTATATGATACAATTATAAGCTTCTGTACATGTTGGACATCACTGAACATATTTTACTGTTGATTTCCAGAATGTAGGCCTACCAAAGTGGAGCAGCACTGAAATAAGGAATCAGGATGTCCACAGTAATGGTCCAGTCCTAGATGAAATTATACTTTCTGATCCTGAGGTGAGAAAATTTTTGTTGTTGCTATTTTTGGTGAAGAGGGTTTGAGATAAAAAATAATTGTAGGTTGGCCGACAACTTACCTTAAATTGTGAAGTTATATTATTTTTCTTGTTTAGATTGACAAAATGACTAGGGTTTGAGGCCTGTATGGAGTTCATGGGAAGAGGGTTGGTGCTTGAGATACCTTTAAGAAGGAAATAATCATAAAATTAAACATGATGAAGTTTGAGAGGAAGAATTCCACGTACACAACTTGGAGTTGGGATGAAGAACTTTATGTACCTAACTTGGAGTGATTCGTATACACAACTTAGTTCAATGGGGAAAAAATGGTTGATGGCGTCATCATATTTCATTCGCCGATCTTCTATCATGTCCATGCAAGGGGTCTATATATAAAGGATAAGGAAACCCAAAATTATGGATTATATCATTTTTATTCTTATTACATGTAGTCTAATAAAGAATGATAATAAATGCTACAAAACTCGGCCCAAATTACTTTTTGGTCTATGAAATCTTGGAAACTGGTTCGATTCAGCCATTTTTTGACCTGATTTGATTCATTGTTATCAGCCTATGAGAAATTAGACTTATGTGGGTTGATTTGGCTTAATAATGAACTAATGCTGACATAATACATCTTTGTATTTGCATGAATTTAATCTCCATCTTAAAATATTCTTGCTTGCTACTGGCATCATCTACACGACAGACATAACACTTCAATATTAATTTTTATGATATACTACATGCTTGGTTTATATTGGTTCCTATTTATAAACTGTTATAAATATATACATTTTCATTTTTCCTTTTGATTTCCTCCCCGTCAGATCCTATTTTCAATCATAATCTCCTAATTTATTTTTTCTTCTCAAAAAAGCTTTTTTCCCTCTTGTCAACATGATTATTCTTTATGAATTTGATTTTTGCATGAAGTCTCAAATAATGAAGTTGATTATGATGGAAATGAGAATCTTAAGATGCAAGAGAAATGTTTATAACAAATTAACTCTCACACTAATACCAAAGTATTGCTTGAAATTATGTAATGGCTTGTGTATCACATGAGAAAGAATTACACATCTAATTTGTATTCACAAAATTAAACATTAAACAAATACTTATTTCTTTCAAATAGAAAGTTGTTAATTCTATATCTTAGACTATGATTCACTGTTACTTCTCTTCTATGAGGTATGCCATTGTAGCTTCGTTCTTGTGGGGGAAACTTGAAGAGAGAGCTTGAAAGGGAGAGAGGAAAGGGTGGAGTTTGAGAGGGAGAAGATCCTGTAAGGGGGAGGAACACAAGGGAGTGTGGTGGGGGATCCACACAGTTGCTCCGGTGAACTCGCACCTTAGTACCATCGGATTCAAGGCTTGTCTCGAGGTAAGTTCACCAAAGAAGAAGATCTCTTTGGTGTCAAAGGACCCGGCGACTCCGCCGCACCGGGGAAACGATGGTAGGCGGCTTCATCTTCTGCTTCCCTGAAACGAGGGTCAATCCTAGCCCTAGAAGAACTCCCAGAAGTTTGTCGGACACGTTTCCCACCAGCCATAGAGAGGAGTTAGCAAGAAAACACAAGAGGAGAAAGGGTGGAAAGTGAAAAACCATGGCTGGAACGGCCATAATTTAAAGAAACGGCCATATCGTGCTGGCCGATCGCAGAATCGTCCAGGCCGATATGGCTCAATAATTGCGTACAGGCCGATAGGTCAAAAAGACGGTCCGATCGTCCGGGCCGATCAGAGATCGGCCAGGCCGATTAGACACAGGCGATCGTCCCGAGAAGTCAATCCGGACGACCGTTGAAAAAGCAGATCGTCCGGGCCGATTAGGTGTATCGTCCATGACGATGCACAATAATTGATCGTACCGGCCGAAGTTAAAACTTTTTAAATTACTGCCACGTGTATCGTCCAGGACGAACAGTGGATCGGCCAGGCCGATTGTCCAATAATGGATCGTCCGGGGCCGATTTTAAAGATTCAAACGTGCTGACACGTGGATCGTCTAGGACGATCCAGTGTATCGGCCAGGACGATGCACATAAAATGCATCGGCCAGACGAAATATTATATCGGCCAGGACTATCATCATGATTGCAACAGAGTTCGATCAAATCATCCAGGACGATATAGGATCGTCCAGGACGATCAGTTACAGCAAGCACAGAAAAGGTCAGCGGATGGATTTTGAAGAGAATTTGCCCTATCGTCCAGGACGATAAAAGTATCGGCCAAATCTAATATATATATACTCCTAATCGGGTCATCAGAAGACCGACGTTTTATGTGACCAAACCATCTAAGGCAAAACTCTAATCTTATTTGTCATTGAAACTACTCCAATCTTTTCACGTATATACTCATTTCCCATTGTCTATAAGAGATGCTACTCATCCACCTGAGCATTCTCATCTCTGCAACACTTTAACTTAATTTTATGCTTCTCTTTTAATGGTCAACATTCTGTGCCATAAAGCATTGCAGATCTCACCACCATCTTATAGAGTTTTCCTTTGAGTTTGAGGGGTGCTTTCCTATTACACAACTGTCTCGATGTACTCCTCCACTTCAATCATCCAACTTGAATCTACTAATAATATCTCCATCTATTTCACCATCACTTTAAACAATGGACCTGAGATATCTAAAACGTGTACTCTAATTAATGACTTGATCGCCCAAAGTCATATTTCTCCGCCCACTTGATCTATTACTACTTAAATTACACTCTATGTATTCGATTTTAGTTCTACTCAAACGTAAACATTTAGACTCTAGGTTGACCTCCATGACCAAAGTAAAAAAGATATGAGCTTAAAGCTGATCCCTTATGTAATCAACTGAAATAGGAAAATACTTGGTTAAACCACCTTGTGTTTGAACACAAGTAATAGCTCCTGCATATATAACCTTAATGACTTGAATATAAGAATTATTAACCCTTTTTTCTATAACTCTTCATAGCATTTCTCTTGGAACTTTATCATAAGCTTTCTCTAAATCAATAAATATCATATGTAGATCCTCTTCATTCTCTCTATACTTCTCCATCAAACCTCTCAATAAATGTGTAACTTCCATGGTAGAGCTACCCGACATGAATTCAAATTGATTTTGAGAAACATTAGTATCACTTTATAACCTATGTATAATAACTTTCTCCCATAATTTTAAAGTATGACACATTAATATCACATCATAATCTATGCTCAGTACTCTCCCCCGACTATCTGTGAAGGATCAAAATTATCCTAGACTATTTAAAAATCCCAGTTTAATCTCATGGCTCCTTAACAAAGAAACCAAAATGATCCCACCTAGATTATCAAAAATTGGAGGTAATGGTATTAAAATTGGAGTATTCTTGGACTATGTTTTTTCTTCTTTAAATTTTTTAGTTAATTTTATTTTTCTGCTTATCTTATTTTCTCGTATACAATCACAAATCTCATGTACGAGAGGAGGTGGATTGAGATTGCGTTGGGTGCAGAACGAGTTAATTCCTTATAATAAATATGTTAAAACTTTTTTGTTATTTTAATATTGTGCTCATGAAATTGGTTGATTTTATATTTTTTGTTCCAAAACGTTAAAATTTAAAATTTGCATATTAATTTGATTGAAATCAATTTTTTTAGAGAGAAGAAAATGTATATTTATTTGTTTAATTTTAAAATTGTTTACAGATAACTTCACTGCTCTTTTATTGATTAAAAAATATTTTCTTACTAGACCAAAACTTATGTTTTGGTTTAATTAAAATCATTTTATTAGAAAAAAACCAAAATATATATGTCATATGTTTAATTTATTTTGTCATTATTATAAAATATCATTACTACATATTGTATAAACAAAGTCAAAATAAATAATATCAATTTCAAGTCACTTGAAGGGCTTGTAGAGTTTCTGAGTAGCTTATACCCATTATGATATTAAAAAAAACGTTGGTTTAGAAACTGAAACGAAGTGTCCATTTCCAGTTGCACCTTTATATAGAATATGTTGAGGGGGTTTTAATGATTTGTTAACCTCGATTCCATTCTGAACTTCAGGTTACAGTTAATCTTTGCAGTCTTGCTTGCATTACTGTTAGTTTTGCAATACGATCTATAATTTTCATTAAACGTTTTTTATTATTCTTCTGTATTGTGACTGAAGGATACTTGTTTTTGATTGCTATGATCAGATATTTATGCAACTCGACTTGTGTCCATTTTGATGCAGGTAGTTGAAGCAATTGAACGTGAGAAGGAGGTAACAAAGGCAGTGGAAATTCACAATGTTGATAGAGCTGTTTGTGGGCGTATAGCTGGTGTGATTGCTAAACAATATGGAGATACAGGCTTTGCAGGACAACTAAATATAGTGTGTGTATTTGCTATATTGTAACAACGTTTTTGAAGGCATTTAAACTATTAGACTTGTTATAGTAATCTGACAATGAAAAATAATATTTTCCTGGCTTTAGTTTCAATGGAAGTGCTGGGCAATCCTTCGGCTGTTTCTTGACTCCTGGAATGAATATACGGCTTGTGGGAGAGGCTAATGATTACGTAGGAAAGGTGCCACATATTCATATCCCAAGCTTTCTTGCTTTTATCGTGTGACAAAACTTCAGAAGTTCTATTTTTCTAGGGTATGGCTGGTGGAGAGCTTGTTATTACTCCTGTTGAGAACACTGGCTTCTCTCCAGAGGATGCTGCCATTGTGGGAAACACCTGTCTATATGGTGCAACAGGTGGTCAAGTCTTTGTTAGGGGAAAAGCTGGTGAACGTTTTGCTGTGAGGAACTCTCTTGTCGAAGCTGTTGTTGAAGGCACTGGAGATCATTGTTGCGAATATATGACTGGTGGTTGTGTTGTTGTTCTAGGAAAGTATGTATTTCATCCCTCCCTTTGTGATATTCTCTTTGTTTATTTTGCCATTTATTTTTGTTTGTTTTCCTTTCTTGAATTTCTGTAGGGTGGGCAGGAATGTAGCTGCTGGCATGACGGGTGGTCTTGCGTATATTATAGATGAGGATGACACACTTATTCCAAAGGTGCATGTCAAAATTGATTTATTAATTAACAACAAACCACCCCCCACCAAAAAAAAAATGTCAAGTAAAATGAACAAAGTAAAAAAAAAAAAAAACAAGTTGATAGCGAATTATAGTAAAGCGGTCAATTCTATCTTCACAGACACGACTGTGTTCAGCTCATCTTGATTCTTGACAATTCGATCATAACTGTATGTTGCATCTCAGCCTTTGGTTATGAGATGGGATTGATACTTTATTCATTTTAGGTTTTTATTCCACGGTATAATTTAACTGTTGTGGTAACCTTGTAATGTGATGGTGAAAATCAATACAATACCTCTCTTCACTTCTTCTTCTTCCTCTTAATGCTCTCTTCTGCCTTTGCTTAGTAAGTGAATTTGGAATCAGAGCCTCTGTGTCAAAGGATATTTAATACATTGATCTCTTCTGTTATGTTTGTTCTTCTTTTTTCTAACCCGGAATATCTCTGCTTCTTCTACGATCAATGGAACATAATCATCTCTGTTTAGTGGGCATAATGCCTTGTCTCCATTAAAATTTTTCTCAGGGGATTATATTGTGCTGGGTTGAACCTCATCTCTGTTGTTTCAACTTCACCATCCTCTTCAATGTTTCCTCTTCATTTGTCTCGCCCCATTTTCACCCAGTCCTGGTAATCTTCAAGCGTAATAAAAGTGCATAATCTAGACAAGCATAATTCTCACTAGCACTCATCATGATTGAACGAATGGGAAGTAGTCTGAATTGATCATCCCAAGTTGACTCTTAACAATCATCTAGTAGATACATTATAAACATTGAATGGAACAAGTCATTAATTCATGTAAAGAGCTTTTAAAATAATATCAAATATATATTTATATGTACCAATAATCTCTAATTTACATCATACACATTCTATATATACCAAAAATGTTGTTGTATAGAGCAAAACTTGTCACCTGTCCATTATTCCAAATGTCCCTTTACTTTCCAAAAATCATGATATAGTATCGAATGAGCTAGAGGCTTAGTGAGATAAATAATTCTAACATAAAATTTAAACATACAAGAAAATAACATAAAATTTAAACATACAAGAAAAGCACATAAAATACTACGTTGAACAGGGACATTTGGAATAATGGACATTTGGAACAATCCAACATCCATTTGCAGCTTCCCTACTTCCCTCCCCCCCAACTTTTTTTTCAGACGCCTCAACTATTTTCTTAGCCATCGGTCCCAATAAATTGCTCTGATACCAATTTGATAGGACTTGAGCACCAAAATCAGCTAACAAATAGTAAAATTCAACAAACCAATAGATTTTATTGATAAGAAAATAAATACGAACATTCAAAATACAATGGTCCTCTTTTAAAGAGGACTTTTTCTCCCAAATCCTAGGCGCCGCTAGAATCTATCACAAAATAAGTGGAAAGCAAATACTCACAAATTTTGCATACAAAACATAAACCTAACTTTAGGGTAATCAATTACTTGAAGCAAGCAAGTACCCAAACAACGAACGACAATAAAAAATTAGGAAGAATAGCACATCAAAACTATTTTTATTGCAAGTTATAGGAATGAAAATAACAAAATGCAATTGGATCTTCAATTTGAGAGGAGATTCGGCTCTCCCAAATCCCTAGCCGGTGGTTAGAGCCCTTACAACTTAAAAAATTCTAATTTCAGTAAACTCAAAACATAATCTTGAAATCACCCTATTGTTATCTTTCAATAAGCTCTACAAATTTCCTCCCAAATCTAAATTCCTTTCCTTAAATAAATCTTCTTAATTTCCTTTTAATCAAATCAACCCTCTTTCCCTAAATAAACCTTCCTAATTTCCTCCCAATAAAATCAATCATCTTTTCCTAAATAAACCTTCCTAATTCCCTCCCATCAAATTAGTTGATAATACTCACCTCTCAAAGACCCACCTTGTCCGCAAGGTGGAAAGACGCTCTTTCCCCAATTCCTCATCATCACAAATCGTGAGCATCTAAAGAGTTCAGTCCTTACACCTATGCCCTAGTATATTCCTCTCATCATATCTGGAACTCAGCCCCTTCGCTCTCTTTTCATGTAACTCAATTTTAGCTTCTTACGATTTTCCCCAGGTCTCCCTCCAGTCTTCTCATTGGGGCTCCTTAAGAATACCCGATGTCGGCTCCTTAGATGTCAAAAAGGTGGTGGTCATACTGTACGAACCTTCTGAGCTGCTGCCTCCAGCCCCTCTCCCCAGGTGCCTCTAATCCTTCACTAACTGGGCTAGCTCTATAGCCTCTCTTAAATCATGGGGACTCATCACTTTAATCGCCGCCCAAATCTCTGATCTGAGCTCTTTCAAAACGTTCACCTCCAGTACAGTCTCCAGAAGTTGGTCCAGTTGACTGGCCGGGTGCTCAAACTTCTCACGGTACTTCATTGTCCCCTCCTGCGTCAGGGCAAAGAACTGCTCAATTGCTCATAGAAGTCTCCTCCCCCACTGGTTTGGAAACGTTCCAACTAGCCGCCATTAAACTCCCTCTAGGTCCATATGAGTCTCTTTGCATCCCTCCATTGGTACCATGCCAATGCTTTCCCCTCCAAGTACATCTCGGCTATCGCCAGTCTCTCCTCCGTCTACCTGCGGACAGGGCACACATAAGTTGCTTCATTCGCGCCCAACTACGGACAGGGCCCTTCGCCTCATGTTGCCGTATCTGTAGCAACTGTGTCCACCATGCACTAGCTCCACTTCTCATGCAGCAAGCTACATATTTTACATGTTTTGTGGATTCAACTTCCATGTAATCAAAAAAGTTTTCAACAGCCTTCTCCCAATCCAAATAATCTTGTATGTGTAAATGTCCGTCAAAAAAGGGTATATCCACCTTAACTTTGAATTCAGCTTGTCTCCTCAAAGGAACTGTGCGTCGTCTACTCCTGTAGTGTCGACATAATATTCAATGCCCTCATTATCTTCCTCAGAATCACTCTGGTCCACTTCTCGTTGACTTTGGAAATCATCCTCTGAGTCAGATACTTCTGGCGTAGGTTGGGGGATTTGACGCCACTGACGGTCAAGGCCCAAACCACGCTAGCCGCTTGGAACCAATGCCGGTGCCTGATCTCGACGAGGTTGATGGGGTGCGGTCCTTGCACGATGGAGATTTAACTCACAACACATTTCGATCGAAAGGCGTTGTACATCTATCGACAATGCTTCTAATTGTCGCACGATGTTAGCCTAGTTTGCCCACAGCATTTCAAGGCTCTTAACTTCGTCGGTGGCCGGTTCTTTGCCCTTGTTCGTCATCCTGCAAAGCTTGCTCTGATACCAACCTGTGCAGCCCAAGGACCTGAAAGGAAACAGGAAAATTCTGCAAAGAACCTGAAACAGAGAAAAACTAACAAGAACTAAGAGAAGAGACAGCTTCGGCCTCAGAACAGGAATTCTATACCTTTTTTGCTACAACCGGAATATTCTTCAATTTTAGAACATCTTCGTTTAAAATTTTAATTTTTGCTAAGAGTACCAACTTATTATTTTTAATGCATTGATTAGGGAATTCGAATCTTATTATTTTCTTCCAACATTCAATTGTAGCAACATATTTTGCTAATCAATCCATTCACCCATTAACTTTCTATTATTTACAATGCATTTTTTATTTGCATACATAGCATCTCCAAACGGCATTATAACACAATTCAGGAAAAGTAACATAATCTCCGGTTAGGCAATTCAAATCTTACTCTTTTCTTCCGATATTCAATTGTATCAACATATTTTACTAATCAATTCATTCCCATAATGACTTCAAAATTCATCCATTAGCTTTCTATTATTTACAGTGCATGTACATGCATAGCGTCTCCAGACGGCATCATAACAAACAATTCAAGTGTGAAATACAATTTCAACTAATATAATGAATGTGAAGCATTAGAATGAAATAGGATTGTACTAAATGGATGAACCATTGTATTTTCACCGGGGATAATTGTATCTTCTTCTATTTGTACAAGGTAAACAAGGAGATTGTAAAGATCCAGAGAGTAAATGCTCCAGCTGGTCAAATGCAGCTTAAAAGCCTTATAGAAGCTCATGTTGTAAGAAATCCAACCCTCTTGAATTTCCATAACAGAGCATGATTGAACAGTACCACTTACTCCCCTCCTTTCCCCACTTTTTAAAGGAAAAAACTGGTAGCAAGAGAGGTAGCACCATTCTGAGCGAATGGGAAGCTTACCTGCCCTTATTCTGGCAACTGGTGCCGCCAAGTGAAGAAGATGCCCCGGAGGCTTGTGCGGAGTTTGAGAGGGTGAAAGCAGCTGGGCGTGTGGCAGTGCAATCTAGCTAAAATGTCTTGTGAAAATGGACCTATAATACCCAAACATAACTTCTACAGAACAACGATGAGGCAGATTCTTAAGCAGGCTCAAAGGATGGATTCTCTGGTAAATAGGCTCTTTTTTTCTGCCGGAAGACACAATTAGTCAGTTTCATTGTACAAAATAAGGTTAAGGGGTGCTGTTGCTGTTGTATTTTCCATTTTTTTTGCTTGTGCATTTTTTGTATAGTTTGTTACTTTAATAAAGTTTACATGTAGATGTTTATAACTTCTGCAACTTATTGGAAATCTGTATAGGTTTATTGTTTGTTTATCAGTTCTTTGTTCTTCAAATATCGTTTGGTAGTTGACATTCACCTTGAAAAAGAAACATATAATTCACTATGGCTTTATTTGGCACAGCTGTTGGAGCACTTTTTTTTTTTTTTTTTTTTTTTTTTTTTTTTTTTTTTTTTGCTATTTTTAAAAACTTTTTACTAAAAAATTGTTTTAAAAAATAGTAGAAAATCTGTCAAAAACGGGATGTATTATTCTGTGGAGACATTGGATGGGAGAACCATCTGGTTTTGTCTTTGTGAACAATAAAAGTGTAGCTCACTGCACATTTATTGTTCATGCCGCGCTTTTACTATTCACAGAGATAAAATTGGATGGTTCTTTCCATTCGGTGTTCACACAGAATCTCTCTCCCCAAATGGAACCTAAGAAATGTCCATGGTTGTTGAAACTTTGAAATATCCAAGGGGAACATGGTTTTCGATTTTAATCATGAATCTGTACTTACGAATTGGATTTCATCATGAAATATCATCTTATTTTTATAAGGTGATATTCATTTATAGTAATGTTGGGATCAAATCTGCTGAGTCTCAATTACATTGAAATTGAAATATTTCTTTCTTCGCATGCCTACTTGATGCATAGAATATTTCTTCAGATGATAACTAAAAATGACACTTTGAATGTATATTCATTTATGTTGTCTTACAGAATGAGATCAGAATGTGCTTGATTAAAAGAAATGACAATTTTTAAAAAAAAAAATTGTATTAAAAATTTATTTTATAAAATAGTAAGAAAGTTATCTCAAACAAATTCTTAATTAGTATGTATTCATTCTCTTTCTCGGCTGTCGGCTACCTGGTCAATTAGGCAAGTATAGGTTCATGCGGCCTTTTTCAGATTTAAGCTGAGATGATGTTTTAGAGCCTCTATTATGGATGGAAGTGAGGAATATTCATGAATGATTTGGGATAAATTTTGTTTATGTTTTTGAAATTGTATAAAAGTTTTAAATTTTCCTTTTATATTTTAAACTAGAAGCACTAAGGAATTTGATATACTTGGGAGATAAAGCCTACAAAAAAATAATGGAAAATTATAGAAATACTAATATTAATTGTTGATTTTGGATTATGACTTCAATATGAAAAATAAAATATATGTGATCTATAATTTGAGAGGTAAAATATGTTCTCTCAAACAATTTAGATGTTGCATACAAAATATAATATAAATCTACTAATTATTGCAAACAATAAACAACAAATATAAAGATAGGTCTACCCCAATTCATTTCCAAATTAGTCTCCAAATCAGCCCTCAAATCTATAAAGAAACGGCTCCTAATTAATCTCCTCCAAATTAGCCTTCAAATTTATCCTCTTCACTTAAGAAACATTTATTAATCCACTTGAAATTAGTCCCCAAATCTGCTCTCTTTGATTAAAAAATATATCCTAATTAATCTATTCAAAATTAGCTCCTAAATCAGCTTTATTTTCTTATAAATTTTTCTCTCCTATTTGAATTCAAATAGGAGCACTTTCCCTAATTAATTCCCTTCCTAATTTTATTGTCTCTTCAACAAAAATAAAAGATACTATTTGAGAGGTAGATCGCCTATCCCGCAAATCCTAGATGTTGTTAGGAACAACTCCTAAAAAAAATAACATCAAACATAAATCACACCATGAAAATAAAACAACATAATTACCCTTAAACAAACTATCAAAAATTTCTTCGAAATCTGATTTCTAGCATTCTTTACTTTAATAAAACATTTCTAATTTCCTCTCAAATTTGAATTCAAAAAGTCTCTCATTCCCTGAATAAAACCTTTCTAATTCCCTCTTAAATATGAATTCAAGCATGCCCTATTTCCCTAGATAAAACCTTCACAATTTCCACCCAAACTCGAATTCAAATCAGCCCTCTTTCATTAAATAAATCTTTCCTAATTTCCACCCCACTCTAAATTCAAATCAGACATTTTTCCCTAATTAAACCTTCCTAATTATTTTTTTTATCCTCTTCAATTTATTAGTTGAATGCTATGAGTTGTTCTTGTTCCTTATCATCAATCATTCGCATCTTCAACATTCTCACCTTATAAACATTACTGCCCTAATAACTTCTTCCTCCTCCAGTATAGTGATTGTCGTAATCCCTCCATATTTCCCCCATGTATCGAGGATGAGAATTCCACCTTTCTTCCAACTGCCTCGCATGACCCAATCCCCATGGCTCAGCTTGTCCCCCTCCTTGTCCCCCTCCTCCCTATTCGTCCACTCTCCTTGCCCAAAAGACCTCTTATAATGGTTGACCATCCCAACCACCTCCACCACAAAACTCCCTTCTTGTTGTCCCCATATCCGAAAACCATATTTTTTCCCTTGCCCGAAATGCTTCTCATAATGGTCAACCATCCTACCACCTCCACAAAAAATTTCCTCCTTATTGTCCCCACATCTGAAAACCCTAATTGGCCCCTTACTAAAACCCCAAGAGGTGGCTCGTGATGAAAAAAAACCATCCTCTTCGAACTCTTCTCTCCCAATCTTTTTTTCCCTTATATTCGACCAAGTGAATCGCGGTCAAATTATGGTTAGGGTTAGCCATCAGAACAACTAGTGGAGTTTTGGATTGCATCTTAATAAGCTTCTTCATCATATCCTCCAACCTCCCAAATGAAAACTCTCTATTCGATTCTCCATGGTTGAAAATCTTCCTTCGAGGGTTAATAATTTTTCATCCACCTTAGATTCAAATTGCTCCATTTTTCTTTTCAACGCATCCACCTTCTTTGCTACCATCTCTCTAAAAACCTTGCTTTGATACCAATTTTAGGTATTTTGGAAGTAAAAAATAACAAATAGATAGCAAAAAAAATGCTATAACACAAAGACAATGTCTGATTTTTTATTATATCTTCAATAGCAATAAAGGAGAAGTGATATACTATTCGGGAGGTCGGTCAGCTCTCCCATAAATCATAGATGCCTCTAGAAACAACTCCTAATAAAACTATAGCAAACATAAATCACACCATGAAAATAAAACAACATAATTACCCTTAAATAAACCATCAAATTTTTCTCCAAATATGACTTCAAATCAACCCTCTATCCTTAAATAAAACCTTCCTAATTCCCTCCCAAATCTAAATCTAAATCATCTATCTTTCCCTATATAAAACCTTCCTAATTTCCTCTCAAATTTGAATTCAAATCAGACATCTTTCCCTAAATAAAACCTTCCTAATTTCATCCCAATTCTAAATTCAAATCATCCCTCTTTCCTTAAATAAACTTTTTTTAATCTCCTCTCAAATCTAAATTCAATTATGTCATCTTTCCCTAAATAAACTTTCCTAATTATTTCTCCTTTGGTTTCTTCTCCTTGCATGGTGAATTACTCCCCTGGGCCCTACAAGGTAGGCCCCCCTAGCGTATGAGAATTCTAGAGGATTTTAGAGTTCTAACATTTCAAGAGCTACAAGATGATCACCCCTCTTATACTCTCAGATCCATAGACACTCATCGGCATTGAGCTAGAGCAATGGTCATTTTTTTTCAACAACAATTACTTATTAATCAACATATTTTGATATATCTAGTCATTTGTTGTCATCCAACTCTCAATGTTCGTGAATGTTTGATTCATGATGTGCAATTCTTATCATAGGGTTTCATTAATGCCCATCAGCACATAATATTGTATATATGTCAATCAACATCTATAGTTGATCAATGTTTACTTACTACTAGTTCTTAACTTTAATTGTAACCTCTTCATTGATATCATCAAACTATTTTTGTTGATGTTATCATCTTCTATTATTATCTTAGAAGAAAGTCTTTAATTCAGTTTTTGTTTTTTTGTTTTATCCTTATCTTTTTCACTTGTGGGGAGCGATGAATTTTTGCTAGGTAAATCCTTGAAGTTTCTTCCTCCATAATTTTTCATATAAAAAAGTATATACTCTAGATTCATTCCATTTTAGCTCTTTTTTTGTGTTTATGTGAGATCTTCACATAAGGTAAGATATGACCCTCAATTTTTATTACAAAAAATTTTGAAGCACATAATTGTTAGAGACCTTTGTGAGAAATGACCCCTGCTTATTGTCATCTAAGTGCTATGCCATCTCTAATGGCAAGCAAATAAAGTCTCTATAATATTTAGGCTTCTTGCTTTAATTCTCATTAATTAAGGAATTACTTGACAGATTAAGTGATTTATGATCTAGTTATTATTCCACGTTCTGTTAATGGATAATCATGACAATAAAAAAACTTAGGACCATCACTAGAAGGCCATGTACATCATGGGAAAGAATTATATAATGGGATCAAGTCTCCTCTTATATTCTCTCACTGCGTTAAGACTCACATTCCTCGTGCTCAATTTAATATTAGATGACCTTAAGTAATGACTTCTTGCCTATCAGTCGAATTCCTTATGCCTTTACTGCCTGTATCAAATAATGACTTCAATAAAGTATTTGGTTCAACTTTGTAGCTATAAATTTTATAAATATTTGTCAGCTGTGAATTTTCTTGCAACTTCATAAAGATACGACTCACACTCTTTTAACCAATTCTGACAACTAGTGCATGATAAATACTCCTTGGTGGATAGATTATTACCTCTCCCTCGCCACAATTTTCTTTACACATCACCTATTACTAATATAATTCTTCAATGATGATCAACCATACCTTCAATTGTTGTTAAATGTTCCTAATCAGCCATTATTCAATGCATGTCGATGTTTGATGTATGGCAATCACTATAATTGAATATTCGCCTTCCTAGTTATCGGCCTCACTTCTTATAATAAGAATAAATTGAAAGAACATATATTGTTGTTTGATATTTAATGTTTCTGATTAATCATCATTTGACATATTCCAATATTAAACACTTGATGATTATCAAGTATTGATAACAAACGCCTGTCTTTTTTGTCAATTAATCTTATGTCCTATAAGAAAAGTGTCTGAGACTGTCACCTACTTTTGTTTAATGATA